CATCACCCACAAAGGGTCAGTAGAGAATTGTTATGAACAAGTAAGAAAATGTACAGAAAGGAATCACCACCGACTATCCTCTGCAGTGGTTAATTTAAATGTGATAACCCCCGCTCAGTAATAAAATGCTCTGACCCAGAGCTCTGATGAGGAGGAGAGGAGGGGAAGGGGTGCGGCAAAAGAGCTGACATTGATTCAACATTGATTCAGCATTGATCAGTCGTTGATCAGACATTAGCATTTCATTCATTAGATTTCAACCACAAAACATTGATTCAATGACACAGTTTCAGCAGCTAGAATTGGATGGTTGTTTGATGATTGATCCACCGTCAGTTTTCGACTTAAACCAAAAATCAACCATTCTGACTATAATTCAACGTTGATTTAACATCGTGTGTTATTTGGGCAGTTTTTCTCCGAGACTGTGTGAGATTACCAACCATTTAGCATAGTGTAGCTACAGACTACTGTTTGCCTCCATTTCACTAGCATTTAGTGAATTAAGGAAAAATATTACCAACATATTTATATATTTAACTTGTACCTTTTACCACTTAACAGATGAGTCAGTCAGCAGCAGCTCTAACCAACGTCCCTCCTGACCCGTCCTCTCCTGAGTGAAATTAAAGTTGCAGTATGTAACTTTTATATAAATATTTTTTTTCACATGATTTTTAAAACTCATTATGTTGTGATAGTATGGTATGAGAGGTCATCTGTGAAAAATCTATTTCCTCTGCTTTCGCCCAGTGCCAGAAACAACCAGTCAGTGGCAGGAGAGTTTTAGTGCTGTCAATCACAATCTCATGTGGTGCTGCTCATCCTTCCTCCCCCTCGATTTGTGCCGTGCTGCAGCTAGCATAGCACAGAGCTGTGCAGATTCAAACTGTGAATGCTCAGTTTAGTTAGCATAGCTACCAATGACGGCAGATAAACGGTTTCTTGTAATAAGTTGCTTCTCCACCATTAGCACATTTAGCAGTGAGTGAATGAGGCTAACTGACAGGGCTAAGAGCATCCTACTAGTTCTGATTGGTTGTTTTGGTCAGAACGGTTCATTACTTTAACCAGTAATAATAATTCAGGAAGGAGATGGAGGAGATTGATTGTTTTCACAGGTTATCTGTCTCATAACAAACTGCTACGACATCGTGACAGCTTTAACAAATATGGAGAAAACATATTTTTTATTAAAGTTATGTACTGCAGCTTGAATAAAATGCAACTACATAGCATTTTTGAGAAGTCTGGATTGCTTTATGTGTAGTTGCACGTTGCTTTTGACTGTTGCTCCTGGGGAAAGACATTTCAGTA